ACCAGGTATTACGAACGAATTGAACTGCAAGGCTAAATATATCTATTCATCAAAGCGGAAGAATGGTAACAAGGCAAAAGTCGCAGTGAACTACGGTAACACTGGGTGATTTCGCTAACACTGATAACACTGCTAACAGCGGTAGCAACAAATCATACGACCAAACGCGAAGCTCATCAACAAATTCAGACGTTTCAATATGGATCTATCAAGCACAGCTGGGCTATCCTGGAGATATTCGCTGTCCTCATCTCGCGCTGCTGGTCTCACGTTTGTGCAAACTTCTTTACTACAAAATAAGACCTGTCTTCGTTTTCGATGGCGAAGGTGTACCGGTCTTTAAAAGCAAAGTTTTGGTGCGTACGTTTTTTTTTGCTGAGTGACTGTGAGTCGTTGATTGTGGCTGTCTAAGAGCGAAAGGCGTCTCCGCAAACACGCTGATGACATTGCTCTCACTCAAGCTAAGAAACGTCATCTACTGGACCTCGCATCAGGTGAGAATTTCAAGTTTTGTGATAGTATAGCCCTACGAGAATCGCACGCAGAGGCACCGTGCATCAGCGAACGCAGTTGGACGTCTCCCTGGTTGAATGCAGTTTCAATCCTCTCAACTGCTAATCTATCACCACAACTGCCTTATTCGGTGCAGTTGCGTCCACTCTCTGCGCGCGATGACTCGCTTCTTATACTTTTTCGGAGCCGTATGAAGCGGTTTCTTTTTTTTTAGCAAAACTTCTCTGTGAAGGATGAATTGAGAAGAGTCGTTTAAAATGTGAAAGTGATTTCAGGTTCTCAAACACAATCAGAGATTGAAGCTGTGAAAAACAGACTTACCGCAGCTTCTAACAAACGCCAGCGATTTGAGAACGATCTCTTCGATATTTTGCCGCCTACTACTGCGTAAGTTAGAGAAACTATTGAGAGCAGAACTTGAAAGATACTTCCAGAGAAGTTGTCGATCTGAGTTCCGATGATGAGGACATCGTCGTAGTTGGCGAAAAGAAGGCCGAACCTGAAGATCTTCCACCTGCGCGAGTGATAGATTTTTTGATGGAAGAGCGGGAAAGGATTCGCGCATCTCGACTCAAGCCGTCGCAGGTCTAATCTAACTGTTTATGCATGGTGTTCATCTTTTCTTTTTTAAAGAAGAATTTTAGATCCCTTCTGACTCAAAGACGTTCAGCAATTTCCAGCTGCAACGACTCCTTGCTCGAAGTCAGATAAATAATCAGATTCAGCATGTGAGAATCATTTTCGTAATGCCTGA